TTTGCGGTACGTGGGCCTCTCACTGTTGTGGCCTCTCCCGTTGCGGAGCACAGGCTCCGGATGCGGAGGCTCAGCGGCCATGGCTCACGGGCCCAGCCGCTCCGCGGCATGTGGGATCTTCCCGGACCGGGGCACGAACCCGCGTCCCCTGCATCGGCAGGCGGACTCTCAACCACTGCGCCACCAGGGAAGCCCTCTTTTTTGTGATTTTTAATAACATCAGGAAGTTACCTCCCTGCCTTCCGCACCTTCTCACCGGGGGCGGCGGAGGGGGGGTGGTTGGAGGGAGGAGGCATGTGAATCCTTTCCAGCCAGTCCCCCAGGGCCACCCTCAGGAAAGCTCTCATCTCCCTCCATCTAGCCCCCAGGTGCTGCCTGGCCCCCAACTGCTGCTGCGAGAAACTGAAGCAGCTCAGCTGCCAGCTGGTGTTGAACGGCTACCGGTTCCGCGTGGCCAACGGGACCGTGATCTGTGAGTTGCCTTCCCTGTAGGGAATGTCTTTGAAACTGGGCCTTTCCTTAAGGTCAGCCTTGTGGACCCAGAGAATTTTGGGGAAATGAGATTTTTTTCCAAGTGCTTTGGGATGGAGAGCTGTAATTCCGAGAATCAGAGCTTCCCGAGAGTCCTGGCCCGGTCCCTCCCCGGTCCCCATTCGCAGCTGTGCCCCCAGCTCCCTCCAGAGGCGGGGTGCAGGGCACAGCGCCCCCGCCCCCGCCCGGGGTCCTGCATGTGCTCCATAAATAGTTGCTGACTCGAGAGTGAATCTTGCAGCTTCGCGCGGCAGCTGCTGCCGTTGAGAAGCTTCTTCCCGATGTCTGTCCTGTGTTAACAGAGCAGCTCAGCTGTCGTTCAGCTGAACAAATATTTGCGAAGGGTGATTTCGTGCCAAGCACTGGGATAAGTGTGGGGGTGGGGAGGGGGGGACACCAAAGTCAATAGGAGGGGGACGGGGAAGGGAACCCACGTGTCATGGAGGCCATTCAAGGAAGAGGGCCAAGGACAGGGTGGGCAAGTGCTGAGTGTCCAGCACGTGGGGAGGGGCCCCTGATCTCCCAGAGCATGTTCTGGGACTGCTGGGTGTGTAGGGCAAGTTGGATCTAAAGAACAAGCCCATTTGCAGGTGCTGGGCCACGGCCTTGTTGTGAACGCCATTCATTTCAGCGGAACCGGTGGTTTGAATGCCCCTTCGAATGTGTGACTCGCCTTCCGCTTGGCCTTGGGGAGTTGCGTGAACCACTGTCCTCCCCTTGTGTGTTTATTCAGAGCTGTGAGTGTGTCTTGGAAATCGCCTGTCTTCTCCCGAGGCCGGGGAACCACCTCCCTTCCACTCATCTCCCAGAGCCCCCAGCCAGGGCTCCGGCTTAGGACACACTGAGCGTTAGGGTGGCGCAGTCTCCCTGGTCCCAGTGGTGAAACATGGTCAGGCCCCAGCAGACAGGAGACCAGCTTCAGCGGAGTCTGCTTCTCGGCCCCACCAAGCACACCACCGATGGGGAGGGACCCCCCTTTTTCTTATGTGAGCTCAAGGAGACTTCCTGTGTTGGAGCTCTCTGGCTGTGACCGTCCTCAGACCTAAAGCAAGGCGTCCCCTCTGTGAGGCCCCCAAGGCCATGTCCAGGAGATGGGGAGGGATCAGGGTCTAGTGGAGGGGTAGGGGACGGGGTGACTGGAGGAGGTTGTCCCCAGAGGCTTGTTTGCTTCGGCATATGATGCCCTCTGGAGGCCAGGGACCAAGTTTCTGACGTCCTCCTCCCACCCCTCGTGGCTCCACATGGTGGAAGGCAGGGGCCAAGCCTGGCTGTCGGTTGGTGGCAGAGAGGCACACAGAAAAGCTGCCCCTGACTCCCCTCAGCCCAGCTCATGGTCTCACTTTCACATGGTTTCTTCTCACCTCTTTTTGCCTTGATCTTAACATCTGTCATGTTAAGTGTTACCTTAGAATGGTTGAAAAGCATCAGTATGAGAGAAAATATTCTCTAAGAGCTCTCTCTGATGCCCCTGAAAAGCGCAGGGACCAAGGAAGGAGGGAAACGGTGTTCTGAGGAGGGAAGTGGAATTTCAGTAAGTGCAGAGGACCTTCCCGCACTGTGGTCTCAGGCCCAGGCCAAGCCTCCGCCCGCTGCTCCTGTGTCACGGGGGCCCAGCCCGGCCTCTCTGCACCTAGAGCAGCTTCCTTATCAACCCTCTTCACCCTCCCAGGTGGGGATCAGAGTGCAGCCCACGACCCCAGGAAGTGGAGCAGAGTGACCTGGGGGCAGAGGCTGGAGCCCCAGGAGGTGGCACAGGAAACGTTCTCTGCTTGGCACACCAGGCTGGGGGGTGGTGAGAGGGGCAGGCAGGGGCCAGGAGCTGGACTGAAAATTCGTGGCCTGGCCCTGCTTTCTGCAGATGCTGGCCCCTGCCAAGCAGCAGTAGCCAGGTGCTCCCGAAGCTTGACCAGGGCTCCCAGAGCTCAACATCTTGCTTAGGGAGTTAGCATGGAGGGATGCTTCTCCGTCCTCACCAGGACATCAGCACCCCCTCCTCAGCTGACCCAGCTAGTGAGGACCAGGCTGACCCCCCTGTTGTCCCCACCCCCACCTTGCCAAACCCCTATTCCAGTGTGTGCTGAGACCCCAAGTGAACCCCGCACACATCCATTCACTTGCCCAGTATCAACTGAGCACCCATTGGGTGCCCATCCGGGCCAGTGCTGTGCCAGGGCCAGGGGCACAGAACAAGGCAGCCAGCCGCAGGCCCTGCTGTCCTGGCCTTCTCCAGAGCTGAAAGTGCCCTTGGGACCATCCAAACCAAACCCTCATTGTAGCAATGGGGAGACTGAGACCCAGAGATGGGGAAGGGTTTGATCCAAGGTAACAGGCAAGATTAAAACTCATACGTCTTGAGGCTTTCTAGTGCTCTGGAACACACTGCTGGCCTGAGTTTTCTAGGCCTCAGTTTCTTCATCCATAAAATAGGTGCACTAACAACAGCTACAGTTCATGAGCATCTGACGGATGCTTTGCACTCAGCACTGTGAATCCGTGATAAACCTTTGAGGTGGGCATTATTCTCCCCATTATCGGGAGGACCCTGAGGCTCAGAGAGGTTAAGTGAGATGGCCAAGGCCACACAGCCATGGAAAGAAGAGTTGGGATTCAGACCCAGGTCGTCTGACCCCAGCTGGTGCCCCTGCCTCCTACCATCCTCCCCAGGGGCATGGGGCCGCTGGGAGGGCGATGGGGCTGCTCTTGGCTGGGGGCTCACACAAATGCATATCTTATTATCTACAACAGGCTTGTCAGAATGTTCAGCACTGGCCCAAGGGGCAAAGAAGAGCAGAAGGAATTTGCCCCTCTGCAAGGACCCAGATCTTTCTGTTCTAGCTCTAGGTACCCTGCTAAGGGGCCCAGAGACAGCACACGCTTTGGAGTCAGGCAGAGCGGGGCCTGCATCCCAGCTTCACCTTTTCTAGCTGGATAATTGCACAGCCCCCCTGGGCCTTAGTCTCCTCATCTGTCAAATGGAGATACTAATCAGAGCTTCATAAGGTCACTAAAGGACGGACTAAAGTAGCCCAACTCGGAGCAGGTGCTTAGTTAGTTAATGCCCCTCCTTTTAGAAGTTGAGATTTCTTTTGTTTAATCTCAGTTTCCTTTTCCCCTTTACTTTGTGGGAAAGCACTGGGAGTTTTTTTTAGTACTGTTGAGAGATTTCTTGGAAACATCTCCTCTGCATTTGCCTCCCCTTGAGCTAATGTTATTAACCCCTTATAGGATAAAACCTCGCCCACTCTACCCCCGGTTATACTGCAGTTCAAGGAGCTGCCTTGCAAGGGTTAACCACCTCCCCAGCCTCCAAGTTCTGAAATCCCTCACCCAAGCCTGGTCCCAGGTTGCCTAGCAACCAGTGGCTGCTCCAGGATGCAGTTGGTGTGAGCAGGGAAGGGAAAGGAGAAAAACAACTTGGTCTGCCCATGTCTCTAAATGTCACTGGGATCTCAGTGCGGAGAAAGGCCTGGAACCCAAGCCCTGGGGCCAATTTGCCGAGGGGCGAAGGCTCCCCTCGGGTAACCGGGGAGGTCATTAGCCCTCTGTTGAGTGGGCTTACATAAGTACTTGGCATTCGCAAGGGATTTTAAGATCTGTCAGTGGTGGCGCCCCCTCCACCCACACATGAATGCATCTGTAGTGCAGCGGGGAGCCCAGCCGTGGGCAGCAGAGCCCAGGTTCCAGCCAGAGGTATCACTATCACCTCCATCTCTGAGCCTGTGACTTCTCCCTCTGCCAAAGGCGGAGGGTGAAGCAGGTAACCACTGGAATCTGTAGTTTGCAAAGATCTTCCTCCTTTGCTACTGAGTTTCCTCCTCACAAGACCTCCGCTCGCTGACACATCACCCATTTCCTCTCCTAGCATCTGTCTCAACCTGACATCATCTCATTTTCTTGTTTATTTATGCATCGATTCTCCCCTCGACTGGAATGTGAATTCCAGGAGAGCCAGAGCACTTGTTGGGGGCGGCGCTTATCCTCAGAAGGCCACAGAGGAAGCCCAGAGCTATGCAGTGTGGGGTCCGCTCGCTCAGACCTGTACCTCCGCACTTCCTAGCCAAAGGGCAGGCACGGGTTAGGAACTCAATACCTGTTGGTTTGATGAGTGAGTGAATGAAAAAAAAATTCATGAAAGAGTCCATGCAAGCACCCGTACCCTCATTTGAAAGCCGAGGGAAGATGCTCAGACAGGGACAACTTGCCTGCCATGCTAGAACAGGCAGGCGGCAGATCTGGACCGAGAAACCCACTCCCTGTTTCTTGGGATGGGGGCTTCATTCGCTGCCCCGCAGGCCGTGGAAGCCCAGCCAGTGAGCCAGTAGCAAACTGGGACGGAGCGCTTACAGCGTGTCTGGGGCTGAGGATCTGCAATGAAAAGACAAACTCCCTGCCTGTGTGCAGGGAGAGAGACAGCCCATAAAATATTCAGAAAGAAAGATACACTTAGGTAGTGACAAGTGCTATGAAGCATCTAAAATAAGGCCACAAGCTAAAGGATGAACATGGCAGTGGGCGGAAGGGCAGGGGGTGTGGGTGCGCGGCGAGGATGGCTACTTTCTGTGACTGTAGAAGGCCTCTCTAAGGAGGTGGCATTTAGCTAGTGCAGAAGGAGACGCGGGGCTGGGGGGTGGGCATCCCACCAGGAGTGAGGCTGGTGGGGCCTGGCCGTGGGGTGAGGGGCTCACCTTCTCCTTCGGTTGCAGGGGAAACATTAAAGCAGGAAGTGATCTGCTCAGATTTTGCTTCAGAAATATCACTCTGGCCCCTGTACAGAGACGTTGGGGAGCAGGGGAAGAAACGGGGAGCCACTAGTGGGGTGTTTCAGTAGCACTGGGGAGAAGCGACCATTGCACAGATCGATAGCTGGGGAGAAGTACCAGATGCTGCGTGTGTTTGGGAGTAGATTGATGGGACCTGCTGATGGATTAGATGTGGGGTTCGGAGGTAAGGGAGGCTGACTCTGAGGTTCTTGGTCTGAGCAGCGATGGACGGTGGTGCATCTACGAGCTTGTGCAGATGGGGGAGAGCAGACTCTGCAGACACGGCAAGAGCCTGGCATGAGCCATGTTGGGTTTGAGATGCATATCAGACACCCAAGAGGGAGTCACGTGAACACAAGCCTATTGGCATCTAGCGCTCAAAGGAGATGTCTAGGCTGAGGTGAGAACTGGAGAGTCAGCAGTGCTCGGTGGTATTTAGAGCCCTGAACTTCAAAACAAAAGCTCCCGGGCTTCCCTGGTGGCACAGTGGTTGAGAGTCCACCTGCCAATGCAGGGGACACGGGTTCGTGCCTCGTTCTGGGAAGATCCCACATGCCGCGGAGCGGCTGGGCCTGTGAGCCATGGCCGCTGAGCCTGCGCGTCCGGAGCCTGTGCTCCGCAACGGGAGAGGCCGCAACAGTGAGAGGCCCGCGCACTGCAAAAAACAAACAAAAAAGAAAACCACAAGAGCTCCCAAGGAGAGGGTTTAGAGACCAGGCCGGAGGCCAGGCACGGAGAGTAGCAGCGTGGCAGGCAGTCTGGGTTAGCCCAGGCAGGAACGTAGACCTTCTTGCTTTGTCTCATTGGTGGAGGTATATTTCATGGAATGAGAAAGCATATCCTAAAGCTGTCAGTTCCATTCTTCATGCCTCAGTTTCCCCATCAGCAAATTGGAAGATGCTGGATCTGGGTTTAGGCTTGTTTTTAAAAGATGACTTCCAAACATGGCATTTCTTGGCCCAGAGCTGCCTCTTCTTCTGGCCCATGACTGGCCTGATGCTACAATGGCTGTGGGATGTCCACAGCAATGGACCGCTGCTCCAGGTTGGTCCTGACAGCCTGCACCCTGGGCAAGCTGTTAGATGTAGAACTAGACAGCAGGAGAGAATTCTACTCCACGCTTTGGAAAAGAGCGGAAGACAAAGCAGGAAAGGGGGTGGTGAGAAAGGAAGAAGGAGGTTTGGTGAATTGAGATGGAAGAAAGAAGAGATGTTACAGACTAGGAACAGGAGACAAAGAGATAAACAGAAAGGGAGAAGGATGAGAAAGAGGAAAGGGTGAGAAAAGTGCCTTGCTTCCAGTTTCCAGAGAAGCAGCACCTGGGTAAGTGAGAGCTCCAGGTGCCAGGCCCTTTGGGAGGGAAGTGAGGTTGGATGGGGCATGGCCCTGTGCCCAAGAAGCCCTGGACCCCACCAAGGGCAGCAGCCACACAACCCGGTGAGCCCCTGCAGACCATGGCGGCTGCCGGGGGAGGGCAGCAAGGGGCATGCTGGGCGGAGGTGAGAGACCTGGACATGGAGGCTCTCAGCGAGTCCCTGCAGGAGCTGGGGCCTGATCGGTCTTGAAGGATTGTCACAGATGGAGAAGGGAGAGCGCGAAGGCAAAGGTGATCCAGGCGCCAGGAACAGTGGGAGTGGCAGGAACCATCCCTGGCACATTTCCTGAGGGTGAGTGGAGAGGTACAGCTGAGGCGTAGGGTGGGTGTCAACATGTCTTGAGAAATCCAGGCTCCAGTGAGATGTGGGAGGACAGCTTCCTGGAGGAATTGTAGACTTCGGAGAGGGGGAAAAGCAAACAAACAGACAATAGCCAGCACTGGTCCAGTTTCAAAGGGCCCTTCTTTTTCCAACACGTGAAGCTAAGGGTGCACCATCGTCATAATAACAAGCATTTACAGAGGCCTCTCTGTGTTCTGAGCACATCCAGACCACTCCATCTGTAACGACACCAGTGAAAATCCTCACAGCAATCTTGTGAAGTAGACACCATTATTTACTTTTGATACTATTGCTTTTATCACCATTTTTAAAAAATTTATTTATTTTTGGCTGCATTGGGTCTTCGTTGCTGTGCACAGGCTTTCTCTAGTTGTGGAGAGCGGGGGCTACTCTACGTTGCGGTGCGTGGGCTTCTCATTCTGGTGGCTTCTCTTGTTGCGGAGCACGGGCTCTAGAACGCAGGCTCAGTAGTTGTGGCGCACGGGCTTAGTTGCTCCGCAGCATGTGGGACCATCCTGGACCAGGGATCGAATCCCTGTCCCCTGCATTGGCAGGCGGATTCTTAACCACTGCGCCACAAGGGAAGCCCTATCACCATTTTATCAATGATACTGAAACTAACTTGCCCAGGGCCAACACATCAGGGAGTCTGGCCACCTCTTTTCCTCACCCCCACAACCCTCAAAAGAGAGTGGAAATGGAGTGGAGTTATCTAGAAGGAGGCTGCCTTAGACGTCCCCTACACACACACGCACACACGCACGCATGCACGCACGCACACGCACACGCACACGCACATGCACCCATGCACAGAGCACTATAACTCTGACTACTAAATGAAAGATGCTCCCCTAGTGGTCACTTGGCCACAGTGCAGACACTCAATCCCAAAGGCCCACTGAGGCTTCATTCACTAATTCAATGACTATTGAGCACCTACTATGTGCCAACATAGTATCCCAGCTGGGGATACTGGGAGGGACAGGACAGAAAAAGCCCCAGTCTCACAGAGCTTACACTTTGTTGATGAGAAACAGACACAAATAAGAGATATGAAAAGCATGGTGAATCAAACAAATGGGGAAGTGAGGGAGAGTGGCTGGAGAAGCTTTAGAAGGAGTGGGCAGGGAGAGCCTCTCTGAAGAGAGGAAATCTGACCAAGACCCAAAGGTGGGATGGACCCAGCCACTTAAAAATCCTGGAGAGAAGTGTTTCAGACAAAGAGGATAGCAAGTGCAAAGGCCCTGGGACAAGATCAAATAAAACATGTGACAAAAAGAGGCCATTGGTCCTGGAGCAGCGTGAAGGTGAGAGAGTGGAGGTCTGTGAGGATGGAGAGGTTGGCGGGGACCCCATCATGGCAAGCCTGCTTCGGAGTCCATGGCAAGGATTTGGGATGTCTTTGCCCAAATAGTAGGAAACCACAGCAGGGCTTTCAGCAACAGAGTGATCCTAATTCAAGTTACATTTAAAGACGGTCTCGGACTTCCCTGGTGGTGCAGTGGTTGAGAGTCTGCCTGCCAACGCAGGGGACAGGGATTCAGCCCTGGTCCGGGAAGATCCCACATGCCGCGGAGCAACTAAGCCCGTGCACCGCAACTACTGAGCCTGCACTCTAGAGCCCACGAGCCACAACTACTGAGCCCGTGTGCCACAACTACTGAGCCCGCACTCCATAACAAGAGAAGCCAGTGCAAGGAGAAGCCCGCTCGCCGCAACTAGAGAAAGCCTGTGTGCAGCAACGAAAACCCAACGCAGCCAAAAATAAATAAAATTTTAAAAAAATTGTAAAGACAGTCCCTGTTTATTTCCTTCCATTAGGGTGGAATTGCTGGTGATGACAGAGATTGGGATTGTGGCCAAGAAGATGGAGAGAAGAGGGCGGAGTGAAATATGCTAAACATAGAGACATCAATGGAACTTCGGGTGGATGGGCTGTGAAAGTGAAAGGGGGGGGGAGGAATCAAGGTCGGCTGCTAGTTTTCTGGCTTGAGTGGGAGGGGCTGCCATTTCCCAAGCAGAGAGTGTGGGTGGAGGACCAGCTCAGTGGGCGGGGGGCCGGAAGGGGACCCTTACATCCAGAGCTTCCTTTGGGGTGTCTTACACTGAAGATGCCTGCGACATCCAGGTGAGAAGCCAGGTAAGCTGTTGGAAGGAGGGGCTGAGTTCTGATAAAATAGGTTTCGTGTCCTTGGCCTGGGTACTGCCTGGCAGCACTAACCCAGGGCCCGTCCGTGCAGCCCACACCTGCTCCTTCTCTCGCTTCTTTCCAGGATTCTCCTTGGGGCATGTCCCGGTGTGGTGGGGGAACGGCTTGGGGACAAAAGAAAAGAACTCCCAGTTCCTTTCCTTTCTATTTTCAACCCTTGACCCCTCGCAGCGAGCTCCCAGCTCTCCCCAACTTTAGAATCAAACCCTGGGAGTAGATGGAAGCCCCCTGTGACCCTCTGTCTCCCTTCAGTTGAATGCGCCCTTGGTCCTGGTGTCGGCTGCCTCTGTGGGCTAAGAGCCTGCAAGTGTGACACGCAATCCGCTTCAAAGAGAACCTGCCCAAACTTCAAGCGGTTCTTCTCCAGCTGGCCCCGCTGCGGCAGGAGCAAACTCCCATGCTAGTGAGGCCGCGGGTCCCTGGTCGGTCTGGTCTGGGATACTCCTTTGTCACTCGGCATTAGAGGGCTGGAGATCAACAGTGGAAAAGACAGAATCCTGGCTTTCTGTGGAGGGAGACAGACCATAAACATACACATAAATAGTACATTCCAATAACAGTAAGACTAGGAAGCAATAAAACAAGGTGACAGGGTAGAGAGAAGTCGCCTACCCCCATCCCAGGAAGTTTCCAGGAAGGGAAAGGCCCCAGGATCTGCCTTAAACTCTCCCTCCATCCCCACGTCAAAATCAGGATACAGGGCGGGTTTGGGAACCAGACCCACAACCCAGATCCAGCTGGAGCCAAGCAGGGATCCTGGAAAACAAGGTCTCGGCCACATGCCAAGGACCCGAGAAGCACACTTGGACTCTGTTTCTCATTTGCTGGAGTTCTGCCTTCTCCAGAAAACCCCGAGGTAGGAAAAAGTCGATGCCCTTTTCACCTCCCAGGAGACAGAGCATGAGAACATCAGCTCCCACCGCTGCCACCTGGATGTCACGCCAGGAAGATAACAAAGAAATGAAGAAAGAGGGCAAGGGAGAAGGAATTGGGGGTATTCAAGATTTCGATCCACACTTAGAAGTCCCTGGTTATAAGGCGTAAATTCTAATAAATATTAAAGTGGTCCAGTCAGGGTGGATGCTAATTGTTCTGATGCCCGAGGGTAGATTGCAAAAATGACCACAACTCTTCTTACCTCTCTGTATCCTCACCTCTCACAATGTAATGCTCAGCTTTTCCCATCAAGCGGTAGACTGTTTTCCCCACCCCCGAATCTGAACTCTGAACTGGCCTTGCGATTTACTGTGGTCAGTAGAACATGGTGGAAGTGATGGTCCACCAGTTCGCCAGCAAGGCCTCTGGAGGCCCAACGCACGTCCCCTCTTTCTTGGAAATGCCTGCCGCTGCCATGAGACACACCCTGGGCCCACCTGCAGGAGGGCAGGAGCCCACCTGGATCAGGGTCGTCAGGCCAGCTGGCTGGCTGAGGACCTCAGACCTGTGAGAGCACTTGGCAGGGATCAGCAAAGCCAGCTCACGGATGACCAGAGACACCAGAGAACCTCGCTGAGACCAAAACAACCGCCCAGCTGAGCCCCAGCTAAACCACCACCTTGCAGAAGTGCAAGCTACATAATGGGCCCGTTTAATGTCATTAAGTTTTGGTGTGGTTTGCCATGCGGTGTAACTCACTGATGTCGTTGGTCTTCACTACCTGAGGCTCTGGGGTTCTCAGCACTGTGCCGAGCTTGGAGGCCACATGAACAGCGTGGACGTGCCCCTGCCCCTTACCTGTCAGGCTTGGGAGGAGAAAGGCCATCCTCATGCAATACCGGGAAACACACAGAGGCTATAATCACTCACAAAAGTTCATTGAGGCTCTGCTAGGCGGCAGGCACAGAGCTGGGCAGTAGGGATACAGACGTTTAAAGAAAACAAACAGAGAATCAGGTGTAAATATCCTGGGGAGAAAGTTGAGAGCCAGAGCAGCTTTTAGAAGTTCAAGTTCAGGCACTTACACTCTGGATTGAGTGATGCTGTCACGGGTGTGAAGACAGGGAAGCCAGAGGTGGGTGGTCAGCAGAGGGTCTGAGAACTAGGGCTCCAGGGCTGTGCCTGGCTCAACTGGCAGGTCACAGGGGAAACTGGTCTGTTTTCCCAGCTGCCCACGCGCTGTAGTAATCGCTACTGCAGAAGGAAACTTGGGGTTGACGGGGGTCACCGTGAAGGTTGTAAAAGGCGGTGAGGGGAGTGACCATGGAAAGGCAGGCATGGAACCAGGGTGGCTGGGCACCTCCCCTCCTTGGGGACTCCGGACCACAACAGAGACCAGCTCAGGACTGGCCAAATGACACAGTGGAGGGAGGGAGGCCAGGGCTGGGGTCAGCATGGGGGCAGGGATTTCAGTGTGAGATCCAGGCCATGGTCCACCGCCTGGGCCTTCAATTCTAATCTGTAAAATGGGGTCCGTGGTGGTATTGAACTGCTCCCGTCGATGCCCTGATTCTGGGAGGACAGGACGGTGGTGGGACTGTGGAGGGATGTCGTTGGCTTTCACTGGGAAAGCCCGCTTTCCTGGAAGGGCGACCGTTCATCCCCTCAACAAATCCACGTCAAAGGCCTGCTGCAAGCCAGGCCCTGGGCTAAAGCAGAGACATAAAGCTGCATCCGACTCCAAGTTGCTCAGCTCAGGCAGAACACAAGTCAGCGGTGATTGCAAGGCAGGCTGGGAGATGCTGGAACTGGGGTCAGCTCACGAGCCATGAGCACCATCGGAGCAGGGGGTGAGCATTCCCCGAGGAATGCTGAGGGTCTGACGTCTCACCTGAGAGCTGAAGATAAGGGGGAGCTGGGGTACCAAGTGAGGTAGAGGGATGGAAGGTGATTCCACAAACCTGCTCGAAAGCGCCACTGCCACGTCTCCCCCCAGATCAGCTGAAGGGCCGTCCTCCATGTGTGCCCCTCCCCCAAGCCAAAAACATGCATGTCAAATTCTTTTTCTCATATCCCACATCTAATGTGTTGGCACCTTCAAAATACACTTAGATTCTATATTTATAAAATACTTCAGTAAAATGTACACATTTTTAAAAAGACAAAGATGAGAGGGGAAAAATTTAGAACCACCTGGGCCACCTTCAGGGCTGCCATCTTGGTCTGAGCCACCATCGCCTCGTTCCTGGGCTACCGCTTGCCCCACATCATTCTCTCCACTTCCACCCTCAGCCTCTGCAATCTCTCATCCACCAGCAGCTGGTCGGCAGGGTGCCTGGAGTCTGATCGCGTCACTCCTCTCCTCACGCCCTCCCCGTCTGCCTGAGTAAGAGCCGATGTCCTTCCACAGCCCCGAAACCCCCATGACCATCCCCACGCAGCCTCGCTTCCTATCCTCTCCCGCTCACTCCCTCCACCCCAGCCAATGGCCTCCATGCTGTTCTGTTCCTTGAACATGGCGGCCACGCTCCCTCCCAGGACCCTGCCCACAGCGGCTCCCTCTGCCTAGAAGGGGCATCCCACGTGCCTGACTCCCTACCTCCTTCAAGTCTCTGCTGGAATCTCAGCTTCCTGATCAAGCTTATGCAACCCCCCTCCTTAATACTGCCCACCCTCCGCTGGCCTTTCCCATCCCCTTCATCCTGTTCTCTGTTTCCCCATGCATCGTACACTCATGGATACCACAGCTCGTTGTCTGCCTCCTCGCTGGAAGATGAGCTCCTGAGGACAAGGATCTGTGTCCTTTTCTAATCCCTCGTGTATATGTTGAATGACGTGAGGTCGATGCAAGGGATTGCATTAGCTCAGAGTGGGGAGCATGGAATGTGGGAGTCGATTTTCAAGCGAGCAGGAGATGAGGCAGGCAAGGCCAGGTCAAGGAGAGCCTGCGGCCACTCTAAGAGGTCTGGGCTCGATCCTGGGAGCAGCGGGGCTCCCAGTGCTCTGAGCCATCACCACTTTCCACCTGGGAAAGCTTGGGCAGCTCAGTGTCCTCAGGGGAAAACAGGCAGACGGTGGACGGCGGAGACCAGGGCGCATGATGACTCACATGGGGAGGGCTGTGGCGATCGCGGGGACGCAATCGTGTCCCTTCCTTCCACCTCGGCACTGTTGAAGGAGCGAACGCCCTGCCTCAAAGGGGACAGACGTCAAGTGTAGATGCGTTTTTGCGACAGCTCTGTGTCTGCACCTTTTCCTCAGCTGCATTTCTTGCCGTCTGGGTGAAGCTGCCAGGCGGTCAGGGAGGGGTGGAGCAGTGGGCACGCCCCCCACCAAGGGTGGGCTTTGGGCTCAGTGCCCCACAGGGAAAGGCTGTCACCGCTTTGGAGTGACTGTGTGCATGGCAGGCAGAGCCATTGTCCCCCATCCCCACTTCCGGGGTGTCTGCAAAGCTGTGAAAGGCGCGGGGATGAGCAGATGTGGGGAGTGTGGCATAAAGCAGCAGCGTGGGCACGGCTGGGGGCCTGGGGCGGGGCAGCCGGCCTGGCGGGGAGAGAGGTGACTGGGTCAGCAAGTACAGAGGCTCTCCCGGGGTGCCTGGGACGGGCCAGGCGTTACTGAGCTCATCCGGAAGCGAAATCACATCCGGTGGGAGAACAGAGAGCTGGGGCAGGGGGCGAGGTCCAGGCCCCGGGACCCTGAGCGGGGAGAAGGGGAACCCAGATGTGCCCCCCAAGCCTTGGTTGCTGCAACAAGCGGCCTCCAGGTGCTGAGGCTCAGCTCGTCCAGGCACAGCGTTCCCTTTGTGCATAGTACACCCGACCTTCCTCAGGCGGCTGCTGTTAAGTCCCCAACTGACTGCGGCTCAAGGCCACACCGCTAACGCATAGCAGAGCAGCGACTAGAGCCCAGGCTGACTCTCCTTGCCCTAAGGTTCCCCTCCCCCAGCTCATCTGGGAAGGAATCCAGTACTGGCGAGACTTGGGGGACGGGTAATGGAGGAGGCTGTCCCCCCGGGGTTTAAACCCTTGCCCTAGAGGGAGGCCTAGGTTCTGGTTCTGGCCAAGCCGCTAAGTCGTTGTGTGGTTTCATTCATTCATTCACCCAGTGCACAAGTATCCAGTGTGCACTGGATTCAGTGGGAGTAGGAGGGCACACCCCTGACACCTAAAGCTCACATTGGAGCTGAAGACAGACAAGTAACCAGGTGATAACAAGACAGTGAGGGGCAGGGAGCCCGGATGCAGGCATACCTGGGGGGCACCGCATCCAGACCTGCCGGCCAGCAGAGGCTTCCAGACCTGAAGGTTAGGTGGAAGGCAGCCAGGCAAGGCGGAGGGGAGGGAGAGGGCACCAGGCAGAGGGGACGGCCTGAGCAAAGGCCGGGAGGCAGGCAAGGGAGAGGGGCAGCCTGTAGCCGAGATGACTGTGAAGCAGGGGTGGGGCTGAAGTGGGCTGGAAGGAGGGGAGCTAGGAGGCCGGAGAGAAGGAAGTCGGGGTGAGGACCCCCTCACATAAGCCCCTTCCT